GTGATGCTCTCCAATGGTAAGGAAGGAGTTTGCTGTGGTAACAATCTTGATTTAATCTTTTCCTTTCAATCCTTTAGACTTACCTGGAGGAAACGCCGGCCTTGCCATCACTAGTGGCCTTCTATTAAGTGGCATGAGCCAGTGGTGCGTTTTTTAAATAATACGACAGCGGAAGTGCTAAACTGGGTGAAGCGAACAGTAAAATCTAGTGCGTTTTATTCAGTTGAAGCTGACGCACAAGGTTTGGTTCGCGTCACTCAATTTAGCACTTCCCGTGTAGTACACTTTACCTGTTTTACTAATCGAATCATTTTCTTTATAAACTTCACTTACCAGGGGCGTTAGGTGAGTAATTTGGATTTCTTTTCAAACTTGACTTATATTTCCTCTTTTTCCGCACAGACAAAGTTGCGAGCTAGAATCACAGTGCGTCAGCATCGAAAGGCTGGTAGAATATCAAAATTTAGACCAAGAGGCGGCTGCAAAGTCACCCTCAGGAAGCGAGCCGCCGGCAGAGTGGCCTGCCTCGGGGACGATCACCTTTGAGCACATGTTCCTCGCCTACGACCAAGAACGGCAGCAGCCTGTTCTGAAGGACATCACCTGCTCAATTGAAGGCGGCGAGAAAGTGGGCATCGTGGGGCGGACCGGTGCCGGCAAGAGCTCCATCATTGCCGCCCTCTTCCGACTGACAGAGCTCAGCTCGGGCTCGATTCGCATTGACGAGGTGGACATTCGGTCAATTGGCCTGGAGGAACTTCGAAGTCGGCTGAGCATCATTCCCCAGGAGCCAGTGGTCTTCACCGGTTCGGTCCGCTACAATCTGGACCCCTTTGGCGAGTACGCCGATGCGGAGCTGTGGTCCGCCCTGGAGAAGGTGCAGCTAAAGTCGGTGGTGGAGGGGCTGCCAGGACGGCTGGAGGCGCCGCTGGCCGAAGCGGGCGCAAATCTGTCCATTGGCGAGCGGCAGCTGATCTGTGCTAGTCGAGCGCTACTTCGGCGAACCAAAATTCTGGTCCTTGATGAGGCGACGGCAGCTGTGGACCTGGAGACCGATGCGCTGATTCAGGAGATCATCCGCCGGGAATTTGCCGACTGTACGGTGCTGACCATTGCGCACCGACTGAACACCATTATCGACTGCCATCGTGTGCTGGTAATGGACGGCGGAACGATACGGGAGTTCGGAGCGCCCTATGAACTCCTAAAGGCCAGAGGCGCCTTCTTTGAGATGTGCAAAAAGACCGGTCCGGCGATGTTCTCCCATCTTTACCAGACGGCAAAGAGGGCGTTTAGGAGGAATTCAATGGCAAAAAAGGGCACCAACATTGGCAAAGAATCGAGCAGCTTTCCAGTCGATGTTGATTTTGACGATAACGCCGACGTTGAGGATGGCAATGTTCTCATCGAAGAAGAAGAGGAGGAAGAGGGTGAAGAAGAAATTGATGGCGGTGATAACAACAACACCAACACCGGCAATTCAGTGGATACCTGAATCTCAAATGACTTGCACAATAAAACACTTTTTTTGGTGATAACATCTTGTCTGGTTTTGTTGATTTCCTTAATACTGCAGCTGATTTTGGCGCTGCTTTTGGACAGGGCACGTCTTCTACGAAAGGGCGCGCAAAGCAGAATTTTTTTCTGCCGCACGATTTTGTGTTGTTTTCTTCTTCCACGCTCCCGGCTTCTTCGGCAAACAGAAATAAAAGCAAAACTCTCGGCAAAAGATCGAGAAAGAAACCGGCGTTTTCTTTTCAGTTTTTTGTCAATCAAATCTGTGAAATCATCTCTAATCAGTATTCTCGTCGTCGTCGTTTTTATCGTCCTTGATCTCATCTTCTTATTCTCAACACACTCACTTGAAACTCAGAAACGATCATGAAACTGACGCCGGACGTCATCGAGGCGGCCTTTCAGTTCATCAACAAGGCGACCCGAGACCGGGAGCTCGACCTGCGCGGCTACAAGATCGGCGCCATCGAGAACCTGGGCGCCACGCTGGACCAATTCGACTGCCTCGATTTCACCGACAATGACATCCGCCGACTGGAAAACTTTCCGCTGCTGTTGCGCACCAAGCGCCTCTACCTGAGCAACAACCGCATCGTGAAGATCGACGAGACGCTTCACGAGAGTCTGCCCAACCTGGAGGGCCTGCTGCTGATCAACAACCAGCTGCAGGAGCTGGGCGACCTCGACCCGCTGACCAAGTTCAGCCGACTGGAGATGATCTCGCTGTACGGAAACCCGGTGGCCACGAAAAAGCACTACCGCCTGTACTTGATTCACAAGCTGCCCAGCCTGCGGCTGCTCGACTTTAAGAAGGTGAAGCTGAGGGAGCGCGAAGAGGCGGAGAAGCTATTCGGCGGCGAGGCCGGCCAGAAGTTGGCCGCGGAGATTGGCGTCAAGTCGCGAACCTTCACGCCGGGCGAGGACCTGCAGCACCAGCAGCAGCTGTTGCAGCAGCAGGCGGCGGCGGCGAAGCGGCAGCTGAGCGCCGCCGAGGTGGCCGCCATCAAGGACGCCATCAAGAAGGCCTCCACGCTGGACGAGGTGGAGCGCCTGCAGGAGATGCTCAAGTCGGGCTGCATTCCCAACGCACAGGCGGCCGCCATTCAGATGGACACCTACTGAGGAGGACTTGGCGAACGGAGAACGGAGAAGAAGATTCCGAACAACGTGTTACTTTCACCCGTTTGTCACTTTTTCTGTTTCTACCACCGAAGACTCTTCAACCGCGCGCGTGTCTTTTCACTTTCGTTTTTGTACAAAGCTAAACACTTCACTTGTTCCCCCTCCCTTTCCACCCTTCCTCCCTCACGATATCAACAACACTCCCACCCACACCAACCCAATGATGAATTTGGTTTCCGCAAAAACCTGCCTGCTTTAATGCGCATTGGCTAACTCTACTACATATTTGGTGTAATGTTTCAAATGAAATCAGTAATAAATAATCATCTCCATCATCATTATGCTATGTACAAATGTGACTTCGATTGGTAGGTTTGGAACAGAAAAAAATTGCACAGGACTGGTTTGAGGTGATGAGTTGTTGGACATGCTCCAAACATATCAGTTTGAAGTAGAACAAGAAATGGAGTAAGATTAATGGTGGAGCAAAGAAAGACACACGGAAAAGAAGAAAAAAGGTGAAAGATTGAAAACAAAGCATGTAAGTTCATTGCACAGAAGAGAAAGAAAAGAAGAATTCAAGAAAAATGAAAACAGAAAAAAATAAACGATAGGCAACAAAGGATGAACAACAAGAAAGCTTGGGTAAAATGGCTTAAAAATAAAAGGCCGAAGAGATGGTTTGGGGGAGAGTTAAAACTCATCTTTTTGGTTTTTGGCGGTGGAGGTGCTCACTTGATTGGGAAAAGCACACCACCACTTCAAGTTAAGTATTGAGAGAAAGTAGAGTGGCCAACAAAGACACATCAGAGGAAAAGAAAAAACGACCTCTTCTCTAATTGAGAATCTCCAGGTAGGCGACCGGCACTTTGCCCCTCTCTACACTGCCACTCTCAGTAGTCCTCTCGCCCATCATATGAGCGGGATCGAGAGCGCTAGAGTGATCCACATGAATGATCTCATCAGCACGCAGACTGAGCTCGCCAGCTTCAAGCGGGACGTAGTCGTTTAGANAACCTCTTCTCTAATTGAGAATCTCCAGGTAGGCGACCGGCACTTTGCCCCTCTCCACACTGCCACTCTCAGTAGTCCTCTCGCCCATCATATGAGCGGGATCGAGAGCGCTAGAGTGATCCACATGAATGATCTCATCAGCGCGCAGACTGAGCTCGCCAGTTTCAAGCGGGACGTAGTCGTTTAGAGCCCTTGCTTTTCGCTTACCACCACCGCCACCACTACCAGCAACCGAAGTAGCCGAAGCATTGGGATGTGAAAAGTGCTGGTAGTTGACGCCCTCGCAGTTGCTGGAGGAACTCATCAGCAGCTGGTGCGACGAGGAGTCCACTGATGAAGTGGGAGAAGGTCGAGGCGGGAAAGACAACTGCTCAGAGCAGTTTAGAGTGGCCGGTTGCTGGGATGAGGAGGTGGTGGAATCGAGGACTGAAGCAGAAGGAGTGTTGGCATTGACATTGGCAGTGGAGTGTCTCACAGAGGAGAGCGATGGACTGACTGAGCCTCCTCGTGAGGGAGACTGTGTGGTGGCATTGTTGGTGGGCGACAGTGCCGAAGCCGGTGACAACGAGNTGAGGAGTCCACTGATGAAGTGGGAGAAGGTCGAGGCGGGAAAGACAACTGCTCAGAGCAGTTTAGAGTGGCCGGTTGCTGAGATGAGGAGGAGGTGGAATCGAGGACTGAAGCAGAAGGAGTGTTGGCATTGACATTGGCAGTGGAGTGTCTCACAGAGGAGAGCGATGGACTGACTGAGCCTCCTCGTGAGGGAGACTGTGTGGTGGCATTGTTGGTGGGCGACAGTGCCGAAGCCGGTGACAACGAGGGGTAGACCGACGGGAGGTGGTGGTGGTGGTGGAGGCCTTCAGCAGTGGAAGAAGTGGTGGAGCCACTGAATGAGGCCGCCCGGTGCGAGTTGTTGGAGTAGGAGATCTCCCGCTGCAGGTTCAACATGTGCCGGTAGCACTGGTTGTAGAACTCAATCTGCTGCGTCACAAAGTCGTTCAGACAGCGGACGTGGTTTGCCTGGTGGAGAAAAGGAAGTTCAAGTAAGTTTTTAAAATGTTTTCTCCCGAAAAAGCTTACCTGAGCACTGCCCAGTCCCTCCAGCAGCAGCTTGGTAATCTCAATCTGTCGCTCAAACTCCTCCTGGGCACGTTTCACCTCACGTTCGGCCTGTTAAAAAGAAAAGGTCAGATTTTAACAAGAAAAAACTATACCAAAACCTAAAAAGTGAAGCTAAAAAACCAAACGCAGCTCTGCATAAAAACACTTTACCTCTTCCACTTCTCTCTCAATCATTTCGGGCTTAATTTTGGGCTAGGGGTTAGCGTTTCAGGCGTTTGCAGCAGTAGCAGCAGAGGCGGTGGTTAGTGAAAAGTTTGCAGGTTTGAAAAGGTGTGTTAAAAGGGAGGAGGGACAAGAAAAGAATAAGACACAATAAACGTAAAAGAGCGGTGAGACAGGTGAGACAGTAGAGTGTGTTAGTCAGAAAAGCAGTTGTGATAGAGATAGTGCAAACTCAATAAAAACACCAAACTCCCTCAGCACTTACATTGGCCACCGAGTCCATCGACTTAGCCTTTCGCAGGCGGCTCTTGGCGGCGTCCAGGTCGAGGCGCTTTGTCTGGAGGACATTGCGCTCCTTGGTGATCGTCTTCATGTCCTCGTCGATGAACTTGCGAAAGGGAATGATGAAGGTGCGGTAGCTGGCCACCACAAAGTCCTTCTCCGTCTGGCCCAGCGCCTGCTGCGTCTTGCCCACCTTCACCAGGGCGTTGCCGTAGACGGTGGAGGGGCCAAAGGCAATGCCAGCGTCGATCATGTCATTGCCCAGGTACTCGAGGTTGCGCAGGCGGTCCTCGCGGCGGATCTCCGTGCCCATTCGCTCAATGAGCAGGTCGCCGTAGCGCATATCTGACAGAAGGAGAGAATGTGATTAGGGTAAAGAGGGTCCAAACTTTAGAAAACAAAAACTTACTCGGATTAGGTTGGACGACCGCCTCCAGCTTGGCCACAATCCGCTCCGTCCACTGCTTGTAAATGTCCGCCTTCTCCGCCAGACTCTCGTACTGCTGGTCCAGTTCGGTGCGCTCAGCCGTGCCAATGGTCTCCTCGGCGTACTGCTTCGCCCGTGTGAACACCGTCGTCATGTCGGTGAAGATGCCCTTCAGGCCCTTCGAGGAGAAGCTGTCCATGATTCGAGATCGCTGAGATCGGCTTCGGCTGAAAAAATTGCCCCCACCACTACTGCTGTTGTTGTTGCTGCTGTTCCGTCGAAGCAGACGGTCAGGTACGAGGCGGCTGAAAAACAACGGGGGAAACAACTGGTAATTAGAGAGGAAATCAAAGTGAAAAGCTGTCAAATCTGAAAATCACTGCAAAAAACTGTATATGAACAGCTGTCAGCTTTATGCCAAGTGTACAGAGTCTGTACAACACGGTGTGTTTGTCTTTTCCAGGCACCACCACCACCACCGATTAGGCAACAACAATAAATCAGTAGAGGAAAAAAGATGACATCAATGCTGCGGTGTTACATGAGTTGGCGAGGAGAAGGCAGCTACAAAGAAGTACAAACACTGCAATTGTTGTCAGTGGTGGTGGTGGTGGTGGCCAAAGCAAAACTCGTCTTTTCCTTGCCTGCGTGCTTGCCTGATGGTGACAGCAACAACGACGAGCCTGGTGCTTGGAAGTTGTGATGGTGGCTTTGGACACGGACACTGATGGAAAAAAGATGGCAAGTGCAGATAAATGTGGTACACTGGGAAAATGTGTGTAGACAACACAACCACGACTGCTGAATTATACGCAAATAACATCAACAGTGGACATCAAGAGGTGATGAAGCAAGACACCCCGAGAAGGCAAAAAATGAGGAAGCCCAAAAGAGCCCTCTTTGTGCTCTTTTGCGTGTGTGAAAGAGAAAAAGAAGTGTTGTGCAAGAGCACATTTACATTTACATGTCTCGACTAGGCAAGCAAAAAAAGTTATGAACCTAAAAATAACTTCACATTTCACAGGAATAAAAAGAATCTGCAAAAACCAAGAAAAAAGGCCACTAAATTACAATAGCTTCGCAAGAATCGGCAAACTAAAAAATGTGAATTATGTTCAGACACAACCAAAATGATTGGACTTACTTGAGGCAACCGTTGGTGAGCAGCTCGGTGGTTTTCTCCTTCAGCGATCGGCAGCTCTGCAGGAGGAGCAGTGCCAGGGACTGCTGGTGCAGCACCAGCTGATGACGATGACGGCCAAAAATGCCTCCCTCTTCGGCTGCTCCAAAGCTTTGTTGACTACCGCTTCTTCGCCACGACTGAGCCACGGTTCTGAGCTGTAGGTAGAACTTCTAAAGAGTCGTCACCTTTTCTGGCACAGTCGCTGAGGTCACCCCCTCGCACCAGTTCAGTTGTAAATGTCAAATTGAACGGAAGAAGAAGAAGAAGAAGTTTGAGCTAGCTCAAAACTGCAGAGCCGCTGCTGACATTTGCAGAGGCCGATTCTGCCGAACTTGTGTGCGTACGTGCGCACGCCAAAGTGTCGGATTCTGTCTATTTCAGAAGCAGGGGATTGCAAAGAAGAGAAAGAGAGCAGAGCTGTGGTTGCAAAACACTTTTCGTGTACAGTTAGAGCTACATGTACTGTACGGTTGCAGTTGCAGTCGAGTGGACGGATCAGCTGAAGCTGCTGCTGCTGCGGCACAAGCTAAAAAGGAGTACTCAAGCGAAGGGGTAGCAAAGTGAGCAGTAAGTGGAGAGAAGTGAAGAGCATCAACAACTTGCTAACAACACACTTGCTTGCTTGCTTGACGTTGAGGACGGCAAACAGAGAAAGATTATGGAGTGGCCACTTGCTCACTAGCCGTGCAGTTTTCCCCTCTCTTTGAAGACGATGACAGCGATGTCTCTTCGAGTGTGTGTGTTGGTGGTGGTGGTGGTGAAGGTGATGCACAGAAGAAGACTTTATTTGAGTATTTGAAGAAAGCGTTGAAACTGCTTCTGTTGCCGTTGCTGCTGTTGAAGTGAGAGCAAACCACTCGGTGTGAACACTGCGGCGGTACTTGCGTCGGTTCCTTACGGTGAGGCCTCGTTTCAGTGTCGCCCGTGTGTCTTCAGTGCCCCGTCAGTATGCATCCGCAGCAACAGTGGCGCCAGGGCGCCAATATAGCAGCAGAAGCAGCAGAAAGAGAATCCACGGACTTGTGTGCCCTGCTGCTGCTAATGGTTCGAGACGGCGGTGTTTGTGGTGGTGGTGGTCGTGGGTGCCCGGAGAACTTTCTAGCTGGTGGTCTCAGTTTGGTGGTGGCTGGAGCAATCGAAGTCGTAGTAGTCCTCTTCTCGAAAAGTCAATACCAGCGCCAGTCGACGTCGATAGCCGTGAAATGGATGATGGCTAGGCAACGTAGGAGAGCGAGAAAAAAGAAAAGTAAATAAAAACAACCGTTGCTGCTGTGGCNGAAGCAGCAGAAAGAGAATCCACGGACTTGTGTGCCCTGCTGCTGCTAATGGTTCGAGACGGCGGTGTTTGTGGTGGTGGTGGTCGTGGGTGCCCGGAGAACTTTCTAGCTGGTGGTCTCAGTTTGGTGGTGGCTGGAGCAATCGAAGTCGTAGTAGTCCTCTTCTCGAAAAGTCAATACCAGCGCCAGTCGACGTCGATAGCCGTGAAATGGATGATGGCTAGGCAACGTAGGAGAGCGAGAAAAAAGAAAAGTAAATAAAAACAACCGTTGCTGCTGTGGCTGATGTTTGGATTTCGATTTGGCTGGTCGGCGACGGTCTGCAGGAGATAATGATGGAAAAGTTGCTTTCACCAGTTATGATTAAAAATACTGGTTAATCATTAGCTGCAGTTGAAGAGTGTCGTTGAACTAGCGCTGAAGAAGAAGCTGTGTGTGCTCGAGGGGCAAATCAGATAGGCAAATCGGTGCTATTTTAAAGCCTAGGAAATGGAGAGAGGGGAAATGAGGTAAATCAATAACAAGAAAAATCTGCATATCTCAATCTCCGGCTAATTGAGCCCTGGTATTGAGCGAGGGCAAATCTCGATCGATTAAGCTCACTCTGCAGTTTTCAAATGTACGAAAGTAGGCACTTACCTTGAAGTGAAGAGCCCTAGATACAGGACGCTGAATCTGTTTGAGCAAGTTCGGAGTTGCTGTTTGGTCAACAAATCAAATGAGTGACAACATGTAAACAAAACGGGGAAGGGGAGAAAGTACTTTGAGCTGTGATGCTAGTGTTGTTGACAAATCAAAGCTTTGCTATCTCCAGAGGTCTTGTTCTTTTTGCTGTTGTTGATGATGACAGCATCAACCGAAGAAGATGTGTCAAGAAAGAAAAGAAGATGACAGCAATGATCGGCGACCAAAGATGAAAACAGAAGAGATCTTTTCCCAAAGCGACTCGCCTCTACCGCTTACCTCCTCTTCTAGGTGGCGATACCGTCGGCAGAAAGAAGATTGTTTTGATTTCAAAACAAAAATAAGTTTCTGGTTTTCACGTTTTCCATCAACAAAACCTGCTCCAATGATCATCAAATCCGCCCAGACAGTTGGGCGGATCATCGCCTCAAGACTACTTCCAAAGTCCCGACTGATTCCGCAACCGGCTCACAATCTTCCCCTCTGCTTCACAGTTTCCTCACATCGCTGCAATTCCTACTACTCGAGGCGAATCAACGAGTCGTCCTCAGCCGATGAACATCCGCAACAACAGACAACTCCTTCTTTTGAAAATGAAGAACAGGATCAGTTCAGACTGAGCATCGACACTGGAAAGCTGTACGACGAGCATATTCGCCTGTCGCTCGGCCAGCGAGCCGCACTCTCCATCGGCTCGGCCTTTATGGCGCTGGCAGACCCGTACAGAGATGGTAAGCGGATGAAAAGATCTCCAAGAATGTTCTAATTCTCTCTTCCCTTTTGGTTAGACATGGTAGCCACCTTCGGCGAGACCACCGGCCACCTGGCGCTGCAAAAGATGCACCGAAAGATGGCCGCCCACCCTGAGGGCAGCCAGGTGCTCCTGGAGCGGCCGCGCATCAGCTCGGAGACGATTGACATTGAGGCGCTGGGACGGCTGCCGGAGAACACCTTTGGATACGCCTACTACCGCTTCCTCAGCGACAATGTAAGTCTATTGATAGGGAACTTTAATGATAGAATTATTCTGATGATAAATCACATATGTACAAAATGTATTTCTTCTTCTTCTTCTAGGGCGTCAGTCCTGACACGCGAAAGACGGTGCGCTTCGTGGACGACGCCGAGCTGGCGTATGTGATGCAGCGCTACCGCGAGGTGCACGACCTGGTGCACACCCTCCTCGGCATGCCCACCAACATGCTCGGCGAGGTGCTCGTCAAGTGGGTGGAGGCGGTGCAGACCGACCTGCCGATGTGCTGGCTGGGCGGGCTCTTCGGCCCGGTCCGCTTGAAGACAAAACGAGCGCGGGAGTTCTACGTGAGGGAAGGCTTGCGCTGGGCGCTGCGCACCGGCCACGAGGCTGAGGATCTGCTGTGCGTCTACTACGAGCGACACTTTGAAGAGGACATAGATGAGCTGAGGGCGCGACTGCGGGTGCCGCCGCTGCCGAACGGCATGCCCTAGACGAAGACGGTCTTGATGAGTATGACGCCCGCAAGGACACTGTAAAAAAGAGAGGATTAGTAAAGTCTCCTGAAGCTTTTTATCTTCACTTACAGCCCAATGGGGCGAATGTAAAGCATCTCATACTGCTCTGGTATGAACAGCTGCCCGCCAACAGGGCCGCCCTTCACCGTCCCAGTCTCGTGGTCGGCGACAAAGAGCGCCACCGGATCGACCGCCAGCTTCCGCGACAGGAGGCCCAGGTCGAGGGTGAGCCGTTCCTGTGAGTAGTGCCACCGCTCCAGGCGCATCATCGTTCGCGCCTCTGTGAAGAGGTTCAGCTGCTCGGTGGGGCGGACGTAGCAGTGCAGCTCCACCTCGCCCTCCACCTGGCCCAGCGGCCGCTTTGAGGGCTCCCGGCGGTGGGTGGCGATCCAGCCGCGGTTCACCAGCAGCCGCCGTCGGGAGCCATCGGAGAGGATAAAGGGCGTGAGGAGGTAGTAGCCGTCCTGGTCCCAGTAGGACACGTGCTGCCCCGCGGGTATCTGCAGGTTTTTTCGCGAGCCGAGGAACTGCTCGCTCTCGTGCTCAAAGCGGCCGACGAGGATGACGCGCTGGTTGGGCGGTAACGCCAGCAGTTCGGCGTTGCTTTGCGGAAGTGGCACCGGTGGGACTTCGTAGTCGAGAAGAGCGGGGGCGTCCAGTCGTCGCAGGTACTCCTGGTAGCCGTTGTAGAAGCCGTAGAAGAGGAGACCGAGGCCGGCAAGGAGGCCACCCTGATTTGGGGGGAAAACACAAAGGGGATAATTAATCAAAAGAGAAATAGAAAGAGAACAATGATGATGATGATGACATACCACCTTGAAGGGAGAGAGACTTCGAGATTCAGTGGGAAAGCTGCGATCGCTTGACAGGGTCGCTCGACTTTGAGTTGTTGTACGACTAGTAAAGAGGAGGTAGCGGTGGTATCCAGAAATCACTGGTTTTTGACTAGACAAAGTAGATGATGTTTGAAGATGACGAGTAAACAGGAGTCGATTTATCACAGCCTTTGTCGACGGCGGCGGGGGCATTTGTCTGACAAGCAGACTGCCTTGGTTCGCAGCCAAGTGTGACGATGATGTGAATGAGGACGACAAACATGGCCGCCAGACGATTGGCCTCACCAAACAGGACCGGGCGACGATCATCAGAGCGAATGATCTGGATGATTGATGAACAGAGTAGAGCGCCGGTGGCATCCTCTCTTTTTGTCTGCTGTTGTGGACGTGCCAGCTAAGTAAACAGGAGACTCTGCTAGCTTTGAAGGAAAAGGAGGTTATTTGAACAAGAGCTTCGAGGTTGTTGTTGTGATGGGGGTGACCTTGAAGACTTCGAAGTACCTGACCAAGTTCAGATCACCAAAACAGAACGACCAACAGACGCAAATGTTTTAAAAACAAGAACATGTGTGAAAAGGTGCTCCCCGAAAGATTGCCCTTGCCTTCCTCCGGGAAGACTTTTTTCGTTAGAGAAAAATCGAAAAATCGCGAAGTTGCCATCAATTTGTTTTATTTTGTTTTGCTTTTATGATAAGGTAAAAACAAAAACAAGATATCACCACAACATAAGAAATTCACAAAAATATTGGCTTCAATATGAACCACAAAGATTAGAGTAGAGAGAAAATGGAAGTAGAAACAAGAGAAGGGTGAAAAAGATGAGAAATCTCTTTCGGAGATGCCGCGAGAAAAGAACAGAAACGCTGCTGCTGCTGCTGAAATCAAATTGAATGAGGGAATTTTGAGAACAAAAAGGAATACCAAAAGATAAAGTAACCAAATGCAGCTAAAAAGTCACCGCCTATTTGTAGTTGATAATCTTTCCATCGGTGAGATCACCAGCTCCAATGGTGGTGGAGGATGGACTCTCTGATGGAGTGTTGTTGGCGTTGGCTCCATTGTTTGTGGAAGCAGCAGGCTCAACCGTTTCACCGGGATTCAGAGTTGAGCTGGTCGCGTCCACCACCGGTTCGTACACGGTGGACATGATGCTAATCTGTTTTGGAAGAGAGAGAAAAAATGTTGTCAGTTTCATTATTCCCAAATCGAAATTCAAAAAGTATCTTCACACTTACCTTCGACCCGCCGCTCGTCTTGTTGATCACGTGCTGCTTCTTGCGGAAGCGCTGCCCGTTGATGGTCACCTCCTCCTCGACTGTGCCATTGTAGTTATCCGGGTAGCTATTTCCGCCGCCATTGACCATCGAGTGCACCGGGAAGCGGTTGAACATCTGCGACGCCTGACTGAGCATTCGATGGAACATCTGCTCGAAGCTGCTCAGCCCGCGGTGATTGTGGTCGTGGAAGATCGAGGGGATCCGGCCGTTGAACCACATCGAGTCATTCAGCGGGTTGTAGTCGAACTCGAGAAAGTCGCGGCAGTCCTTCTCGCCGCCAGCGATCTCATTCTCGAAGTCCTTGGGCAAATCGGCGTTGGCGGTTTCATTTGGCGAACGGATCACTACGGTACTTTCCGTGGCCGGGACGTTCTCCCGCTCCAGACTGCGCTTGTGGCGGATGTAGATGCGCTCGGCATCGATGACCAGGCAGAAAGACAGCAGGACAGCTAAGAGTAACTTTGAAATCATCCTGACTGAGTGAGTGAGTGAGTGATTTATTTACTGATTCGTTGAGTCAAAGTTGTCAGATAGTTTGACAGTTGTCGCAGTGTGTGCTCGATCTGGATGATTGAGCTGTGGGCAAGAGTGGCCTATTAAATAGCTGCTCGAGGCGAGGTTGTCAAAGAAGAAGGAGAGGAAGAAGACGTGAATGTCACAACAAGAAGAAGAGGAACAACAACAACTGATTGAACTCGATTGCTCTTGATTGGGTGGCGGTCAGCTACCAGTCCTCGTCGCAATCAAAACGAAGAGAGCGAGAGAGAGAAGTAGAAATGTTGATGGTTGCTGATGTTGCTGAGAGTTGTCGTACTTTGTACTTGCTACGAGATTGCCAGCCTCGTTTTATATCGGTGATAGCGATGGTGACAGTCAGTGAGGCAGACAGGCAATTGCTCTTCCTCTCTCGAAATTTCGGAGTTTTTCTCTACCAGGAGAGATAGAAATTGATTGAAGGCTGTGCTTTCGTCTGGCTTGATTCTCGCTCTTTCCTCCGATGATTCAACCAGCCAACTGAGCCCGCATCGTTGCCATCCTTCGAATTACATAGTCCTTCCACTCTGAAGTGAGGGAAGGGAAGGATGAGAGGTAGTGGTAGTGCAACAACAGGTGCTGCTGCTGGTGAAGACCACCACCACGACGACCACCACCGTACAACAACATCAGCACCACAATTAGATACCACCAAGCAAACAGGCAACGCTTGATAATTATCGACGAAGAATGAAGACAAACGAGGTAGCAGGTACTGCAAAGAAGAAGAAGAGGAGCAGGTTTGTTTACAGCTGCTCAATGTTTGCAGATGATGGAGATGGCAAAT